ATATATATATATATGAAGTATTAGGACTTAGAGGGATTGGTAAAAGGGCATCTCTGATAGCATTAAAAAAACTTGCAATCTGAGCTGCACTTCCTTGGCTCTAAATCATTGATACAATCATTTCATTCACTCATTTAGAGAAGGAGATGATTAGATTCCGATGTTTCAGAAGAACAAAACTGGATAAAAATTTCAGATCATCATACTGGAAATGTGAATAAAAATGTTTATTTTTTACTTTGCAGTTTGCCTTTGAGAGGCTCTACTATTATCTAAAGAGTGGGAATATGTGGAGGAGATCCAAAGTAGGAGAAAATGGGGTTACTTTATCAGAAACTGGAGTTCTCCTATTGGGTCATCTCCTCCACTCACCCGCCATCCTCCCCACTGAGCTTTGCATCCTTGTGATCGGCTTCCAGTGTAGTTAAGGGAGCGTGGTACCAGCGTGGATAAAGGGAGATGGGTCAACCTGTTTGACACATGCATGCTTACATACAAGAAATTCAAAATTTCAATGGCTCTAAGGTAATTGTGGCACCCTGAAGAAACTTCAAACAGTGTTTTTCTGTGGAGGAGATTTTCCAATAGAATTCCAGCTAATGGTAAGTAATCCTGTTATGCATATTATGTAGATGCCAGAAACATTTGTGTATTTTGCCACTCAACGCTGAAGAGTATGGGATGAGTATTACTATATGGTAATACTACTTAATTTCTTTTGAAGGTGGTCTTCAGAAAAATGTGGTGCTATTCAAAGTCCAATTCAGTGTATTTTCCAGGTTTGTAACTACTTAATTTCCGTCAGGTTTTACAGTTAATGACAGCTACAATCAACAGTCTCAATTTCCAGCTGTACAGCAGCTGCAGGATTCAAGCACACTTGAATCTCAGGCACTTTCAACAAGTTACCATCCACCAGCCCTTCTTCAGGTCCCAAATACAGACACTATTAACGTAGTAAGTACTGCTAGAGGGCAGAATGCCTTGATCTGTGTTAAGGGATGAATTTCTTTGAGCTATTTCATTGGTGATCAGATAAACTGAGAGGTCAGAAAAGTTTCATTATTTCTTTTCTAGATTGCTTGTGTTTAACAACTGGAAAATAAAATGGTGGAGGGAGGATAAGTGACGTGTTTCTACAAGAGTTTTATGTTTTTATGCTCTAGGCTTAAAAAAGGACATAATGCTATAAAGCTGGATTGTAAGTCTATAACTGAGGGAAGGACCTAATATTATGAAGGAATTTTACATTATTGCACCATATTCTGTCCTAATTCTTTAATTTCTGTGGATATAGATATGATCAACCAATAAAAATATCACAAATGTGTAGTGATCATTCATGGAGATTGCCTATTGCAGTGTATGATGTTCTTCTGTGGCTTTCATCTAGTTAAATTTGTAAAAGAGCTTAATTGCTACAAATACAGTTTAAATATAACTTTATGATGATGGCAGTACCTAGCATGAAGACTCTCTATAGTAATATGTTTAACTTGATGACATGCATGAAGTGTTATCCCTTCATGCTTGTTTGCAAAGGGTGAATGTCAGTCAGAACTGAGATGAGTTTTAGTATCTGGAAGAGTTTGAGTAATTTCAGTCTCTAGGTGTTTCTTCTCTTGAAGCATTACAGCATGCCATCATTCTTGATTATTCTGTGATATTCTGGTTTTGCTTAGAGGAAAATGTTTTCAAAAAGTAGTGAAGACTATCAGGAGCACTGTGCGTTGTGTTACTCACTTGTGGGGCTCATACTGTTTAAAATGGCTGCTTTAAATTTAACCCCTTGATCTGTGAGACTCAACACATTTTTGGTCTAGATTCACAGGGAAGCGTAAGTGCACCATGTTGCCTGTTTATTCTGATTCAGTAGATGCACATTTTGCTGCTTCCCGTCTCACTATGAAAGAGTGAGGTATCTTAATTTCTTGTAAAAAAATTATGAAAGCATCATTTTGATTACTTATGTTGACTGTAAATACTGTAATTTGTTCTTGCCTATTTGTATGACTTCATTTCAGTGTTATTGAAATTTACTTGAGCCTTTAATTTCTAGGCCACCCGTTTGATACAGGATCAGTCATCACAAGAAGAACTTGAATTGCATACCCAACGGCCTCATTTTCTTGAGGATAATGAAGATCAAAGCAGGCGTTCGTATAGGTTTGTTACAGTCTTAGTCTCTGTCACAGAATTTCCTGAATCTTTTATAGCTAGTAATTATATGCAACTAATGAAAAAAATTTTCTTCTAATAGATGTGAATACTGCAACAAGGGTTTTAAGAAATCCAGCCATTTGAAACAACACGTGCGATCACATACTGGTGAGAAACCATATAAATGCCAACTCTGTGGCCGTGGCTTTGTTTCCTCAGGAGTTCTTAAGTCACATGAGAAGACTCACACAGGTAACAGGGTATACCAGCTCTAAATGAGCTTAACTCATCATTGGGAGTTGTAAATGTCCTGTAAGTAAAATTAAACAAATGGCGTGCTACTTACTTGTTTCTGTTACTTTAAGGAGTTAAAGCATTCAGCTGTAGCATTTGCAATACCTCCTTCACAACTAATGGCAGCCTTACCAGGCACATGGCAACTCACATGAGCATGAAGCCTTACAAGTGCCCGTTCTGTGATGAAAGCTTTCGAACAACTGTTCACTGCAAAAAACATATGAAAAAACATCAGGCAGTCTCCTCAGCTGTAGCAGCAGCTACAGAAACAGGAGGGGGAGGTAAATTATTTCATTTTTTACTTTTACAGTCCTTACTACATAACAAGTAAGAATGGTTCAGTGGATTACATGAATGCTATAACAGTAATGTTATAAATTAGCCTTCCAGCATGGATAGTGTCTGATGTCCACAACCACTGAAATTTCTCTGTTATTCAAATTGTTTAAAAAATTCAGTTTTCCGGGATTCTACCTAGTGCATTCGAGGTACTGTATGTTGCACAGGGCTTTTTAGTGTGTCACTATGGTAGGACATTTTTTTGTCCTATATTACTTATATCTGTTTTAATTATTGGAAAAATAGTAATTATAAATCCAGCTTTATTTAAAAGAAATACAGACATGGTAATTAGACCTCTGAAAGAGATTTAAGTCCAAGCACATAATGTAACGGCCATGTGTTTGGTAAGAAACTCTTCTCTTTTTGTGATTTCAGCTGACAGATTAAACTAAACAGATATGTGTATTTTTTTTGATAGTTGCATGTGTTGAAGACGATGATGAAAGCTCTGAGAGGACTTCCAGAAAATCTCGTCCTGGTGTCATAACTTTTACAGAAGAAGAAACAGCAGAACTGGCAAAGATCAGACCTCAGGAAAGTGCCACTGTCTCAGAAAAAGTTCTTGTCCAGTCTGCTGCAGAGAAAGACAGAATTAGTGAGATCAAAGATAAGCAAGCAGAACTGGAAGCAGAACCCAAATATGCCAACTGTTGTAATTATTGCCCCAAAAGCTTTAAAAAACCCAGTGATTTAGTCAGGTAAGAAATTGAAAAGTTTTGTGTATTTTCACTTTTCTCAGTTGTTTACCAGAAACATAGCAGTAACAGTTTCATTTAACTTTCTTATGCCTAAGCTAAAATTTGATTCATATTCACATTTGTCTTTTTCAGAATGCTTTGAAAATGTGTCAAAATGTTTTATATTCTGAATATGACTAAACCAGCCTTTTCATATTTCTCTTCCTGCAGTATTAAAATAATTATTATGAAGTTTTAGAATAAATTATTTTTTTCATGGTATAGGACTTGCATATAAAAGCATTTAAAAATCAGTTTGAAAAATGACAAATGCTTAAATCATCATCTTTACTAGTTCTCTTTAATGTAGTGTTAAAATAAGTGTTCAATTAATTCTGAAATTAATAAGATACAAAATAAATATTTGTACAAACTGATGTAAAAGTAGGAATTCACATATCCATGTACTCTGGAATTATTAGGCATGTTCGTATCCATACTGGAGAGAAGCCATATAAGTGTGAAGAATGTGGAAAGAGTTTCACTGTAAAATCCACTCTAGATTGTCATGTTAAAACACACACAGGTCAGTAAGATTTTGAATGTCTTTGTTTCAAAGCAGGGTACTTTCTTGACAGGCTGTTTGAACTGAAGATTTTGCAAGGAATGGTACTTTTCACTGTGATCTGGGAAACAGCAGTTTGAGGACAGCACTAGGTGAAATTTGGCACTTGTTGCCTCATAAATGAATCTTATTATATTTTGAATAAACTATAAATGAGTAAATTAATATAAATATTATAGCCTTCTATATTAGTAGGCTTATAAAGCAGACGCAGTCTTAGGTCATGGAAAAACTATGTATGTATCTATGAATTGTCCTTTCAAATCTGCTGTAGCATTTAAATGGGAAATTATTTTCCTGAGCAAGAGGGTGGAGTTGGAGAATTTTATAAAATTAAGTTAAAGAAAAAAGCTAGAAATGTTAACGTTTGTGCTGCTAAGCAGATTGAAAAATAAGAATACAAAAATTCTGAGCTGTTTGGATCACACATGTTGAATATAAACCTCAGTTCTGTGAAATTTAGGTTTTTACACTAGCCTCTTTGTATTCCTGAGAGATGTGATTTTCATTAATATTATTTTTTTACCCCATTTTTCCATGAATTAAAGAAGATTCTAAATTTGTCATACTTGTTTTCTTCTTACTGTTGAACTTCAGTAATAAATCCAATCCTAAACTGATTGATTTCCAAAACTGGCTAGTTTTGCTAAGGTGCATTGTAAGCTTTTTTTAGAAAATGCAAAAAAAAAAAAAAGAAGATTGAAAGCTTTTAATGCTGTAACATATAATTATTTTGCTCCTGGGAGACCTCCCTTTCCAACTCAGCTTATTTGTACTTTCCACTCTTGTTTAGTAAGAAATGCTGCTCTTGCATGTTTCAGCAGATCTCTGTGTAGGTTGGTGTATTGTCTCAGTAGCAGATGCTAAGCATAATGAGAAGAGGAAAGCAGGGATTTGATTGTATTTCTTCAGGTTCAAGCAGTTTGCAGCTTGTGGGACTCTGACTAAGAGTTTGTATCTTTTTCCTCACTGCCTTTAATGGAATATACTGTGTTAGTTTTATCCAATTGTTTTCTGAACCTAGGAAAACTGGGTAAAATCAAATGGCCTCCAGTACACCCAGTATGTTCCTTAACTCAAATTTGGTTTTCAGTGTGCCAGCTAAAGATTTTGTTCCTAAGGCGACCTGTTCTTTTGCTTGAGAAATAATGAAAAATTGTTCCCTGTTCTTCTTTCTTCAAGCTTTTTATTATTTTACTGACTTTTTAATAATATAAAACAGAGCTTTATAAGTGAGTATTTTAATATCTTTCATCCTCTCTTTCACAATGTATGTATTTTGATCAGTTTAGTTCTTCAGTCAGGTGCTTAAAGAACAACCCTGCTGGTTCCTGCCTTGTGAAAATTGTCCATATAATCCTACCTTTTGTTTTCAGTCTTATAGCTACTTTAATTCATGAAAGTACTCTGTCTTTTCATCCTGTGACAGCAGTTTTTCCAAGGTCCTTTCATATAAAACCAGTGTACAATTCCAAAAATCCAGTTACAGTCTTGTCAGTGAAAATCTGGTCTCCTTTAAAGAGCTCTCATAGATTTGTGAAGTGTAGTTTTCACTACAAAAGTCACATCAACTTTTCCTTATTGTAACGCATTTGATCTTGTGGGGTTTTTTTCGTATTTTCTTTTATAATTGGGCCAGCTTGTGTTGGATGAAGTTTAACTGGTGTGCAGTTCCTGTATGTGAGCCTGGATACCTTTTCAGAGCGATGTTTTAATCCGTAGGCAGCACCTACAGCTAATAGCTCATTGGGATTATGTTGAGCCATACTTACTTTATTTAAATGAACAATTAAAAAATAATTACAGTATGATTGTCTGGAACTCCCTTAACAGCAGTTCAGTTTGAAAAGCTACTCTGCTCTTCCCCTATAAAAGAAAGTTGCTTGAAAAGGGGCCTACTTGACTTCATCTAGAATAAACATCGATGCAGTGAATTAGTTTGGGGGTTCACTGTAGCTTCTATTGTATCATCATCTTTCACCAGCAGGCTGGCTGGAAGTTTTTCTGTGAGATACGTGGTTCTTTGGCTGGACTCTTAGACCCTGTATCCTGACATAGCAATTAGTAGGTAACTGAAGTCACACGTTATTGTATTTCTGCCTTTGTTGCTTTTGTAATTTCTTATATATGTAACAGTTCTCATTAATATTTTACGTGGATAGCCAAGTAGTATGGCCCAATTGTAGATGCATTAAAACATGCTTAATTTTACTGTATTTGGAAGCAATGCCAGTTGGGCATTTGCCATTCCTCTATGCCTTTTCATCTCAACTTGTGATCATCCTCCTTCCAGGTTTCCCTTTTGGCCACTAACTCCCTGTCCACACATAGTTTTACGTTCTAGTTCATCCATATTTCTTTTTTCTTTTCAGATTCCTAGTATTTATGCAAAAAGCCCAAGAGCCAGGTCATAATCTGTTGCATGTTTTAATGTTCTATTTAAACAGGACTTCCCATGTTCAGTTTGTTCCTTGCTGCTCCATAGCAGGAATCATAGGCACGTGTTGATTTTCTGTCTTCTTGTTAAACTGTAAATGACTAAGATCACCAGAATACAGTAGTGCCTTCTGGTCTGGAAGTTGAGTCAAATTTGTTTTATAGACTCATAGAATCATTATGATTGGAAAAAACCTTTTAAGATCACCAAGTCAAACCATTATCTAACTTTTCCATGCCCCCTTCTAAACCATGTCCCTGTGAACCACATCTAGATGGCTTTTAAATACATCCAAGGATGGTGATTCAACCGCTTTCCTGGGCAGCCTGTTTGAGTCTTTGATAACCCTTTCAGTGTAGAAGATAAAACCCTTTCAGGGTTGATCTAATGGTTTTCCAGGTAGAAAGGATGACTTACTCACACTTAGTACTACCTTGTTTTTCTTAGTATTTTTCCGTCATAGTATGGAGAAGTCTTGATTTTATTATTTGATACGGCAGCTGTACAAAATAGGTTGATTTTCTTTCCTTTGTTTAGCTAGGAAGCATTATTGTGCTGGAAAGCATGGGAATTTCAGGAGTTATAGTGGGCTTTCCGTTGCAGTGACGTGTTTTCTGGTGGATGTGCTTTTTGTGAATTGGACAACTGCATGTATGGTTAATGAAATGAACTCTGCAGTTTACTGTTTTTATTTGTAGGACATTAAAAATTTCATTTGAGACCAAGGTTTTTTTCCAAATGTTATGCAATCTGAAAGAAGAGCAGAGAAAGAGGACTCTGTGTGTATAGACCAGATTTCTGTACTTTTAGGTTACTTGGAGGTGGTTGGTATTTTGTTTTAGAGTATTATCTCCCTTACAGATTTTACTCATTTGCTACTTGTTATCCACTAATTCTAGTCAATATTGAGGTAAAAGCTGAAGCAGAATAATAAAGCTGCTGGAATTAAAAAGGAAATGAGTGGCTAAATGCTGAAGAGGTTGAGCTGAAACTTTTAGTTCCTCAGTTTTATGAGCTGTGTAGTTGAAGCAACTTGAGTAGTCAGGAAGGTTTGATGATGAGGACAGAGGCATCAAGGTTATCCAACAAGGTTCTGCATGGAAGTTTTAATAACATACTGAGTTTTAGAAATGGGAAAAAATTAAGAAACCCTTCATTGAGACCCTTAATTCATATGAAAAGCAGCCAAAATTATAAAGAAAAATGCTGGTTCTTTCAAATTTATTCTGTTCAAAATTGTTTAGAATCTATTTTTTTAGTTGTTGATACAGTGCTATTGATTTTTAGAGGCTTTATTACTTACCTTTCTATTTTGAAACTTTTCCAGGCCAGAAGCTCTTCAGTTGTCATGTATGCAGTAATTCTTTTTCTACAAAAGGGAGTCTGAAAGTCCACATGCGTCTGCATACAGGAGCAAAGCCCTTCAAATGTCCACACTGTGACTTACGGTTTCGTACTTCAGGGCGCAGAAAAACCCACATACAATGTCATTATAAACCAGAGGCAAAGAAAGCTAGGAAGCCTGTCTCCCGTACCTCATCTGAGGGACTACAACCAATCAGTCTTCTTAATTCATCCTCGACAGACCCTAATGTTTTCATCATGAATAACTCCGTTTTGACGAGTCAATTTGATCAAAATTTGCTTCCACAAGGACTTGTGGGCCAGGCTATCCTGCCTGCTTCAGTGTCAGGTAAAAATGGGTGACATTTTGGTGGTGGTGTTGAGATCAAGTACTGAACTTTGCTTTTTATTAGAGTTCAGAAAATTATGCCAAACAGTGCTCCAAACAGGTAAGAGTTGTACTGAATTCATGATTTGATGCATGGTGGTGGCATAAGTAAAAATTTATTTATTTAAGAATGAAGGGAAAATGTATGCAGTTCACCTGAAAAAAATCTCTTCAGTTCTACTGTGGTGTTACACTGCGGAAAGGAAGAAAATACAGATAACGAGTAGCTGGAGTACTTTTATTCTTCTTGGTAGTACTCTGTTGCCTTTTCTGAAGAAACAGAGAAGCAAAACAGTTACTCTGTAAGCTTTCTATTCCTTAAGATTTAGTTTGTATTCAAACATTAGATAATAGAGCAAAGAAAAGTTTGTTTACAGTATTTATTTACATGAATACTGAAGAGTGTTTTGAGTGCGTGTGCTCCTTGTACATACGTAGTTAATAGTCCAAAGTAAAAAGAAAAGAACCCACACACCCTCAAAAAAAACCAAACCAGAAATCCAGAGCAATAAAACATCTCAGCAATACAAAAGACTGCTAGTGTAGGCGTGTATGTTAAATAATTAAATGGCTAGGATATGAAGTCTTGCCAGTTGACAGTGACCACAGCTGCATTAGCACATTAAATGTGCCGCAGACCGTTTGACTCTGAAGCCAGACTGGCGCAGAATGCCCAATGTGCTTCATGTTGCAAGGAAATGACCTGTTGAGAATGATCCTTGCTAACTTGTAAATTGGTTTCAGGAATTGTTTACATAAGCGCTAGCTGGCCTCAGGGAAAGCTGGGACAGGGATGGTTTTAAGAGCAGAATAGTGATCAGATGTCTAGACATGTTCCCTGATAATGATAAATTTACTACTTTAAACAGTGGGACTTGGACTGTCTGTCACTTCTGAAAGCGAGACTTGGATTTTCTGTGCTTCTTTGGCACTTTTTTCAGTGCATGTCTTTGATTTTGATAGTATGCCCACAAATCTACAGTAATGTATCAGTCTCATATTCAACTGTAACCGTTCAAGCTTAGCTGACCTAAACTGTTGTCCAAAACCAACAAATTGTTGGTTGTGCAGAAGGTAGTGGTAAATGTCATTTGACAGTGACAGTTAGTGGTATATTTATGATTAAAGACTGTCGGATGTTTGCTTAGATTTTTGAGTGAACACAATATGGAGGAATCTTTAGCATGTTCAGATGTCTTAGAAAGAGGCAGGAACCTTCTTACATTGAGGTTAGTGATGTGGGTTTTGCCTGGAGCAGGTATTTCTTGAGTGTGTCGTAAAGCAGATTTATTACTCTAAAGGATGTTGGAGAGAGGAAGATAGATGTTTTCAAAGCATCAACCAAAGGAAACTGGTTGATCGTACTGAAGATGTTTGGAGAAGAAGATATCAAACACAAGGTGACTCTTCCCTTGTGTTCTCCTGAGTCATTTTGTAGAGACGGTCTATTCAGCTTCTGAAATTAGGAACTTTCTAATTTCTAAAGATTTCAGATGCTAATGTACCTTTATTTCCGTCCATGTGAGTACGCAGGGTGAACTTTGATACCTTCTTGAAGAATGTTTGTTCTGTGCAAAAATGTGGCAGTAGCTTTCAATGGTATGGTCAGAGTCAGATTGTACGTATCATGTGGGAGTGCTGCTTGTATTTAGGTATGGCAGACACTCCAAGGTATGTTATACCAAATTTCTCCAGGCTTTCAAAGCTACTCTGACGTGGTTCTTGTTTTCGTCTTACAAGATGCTACCTAGTACTTAAATAATAAAAATCTTTAAATTACATAGAATTTATGAAGCTTTAAAATAGGCAGTCATCTACTTCAGATTATTTTTCTTGTCATAAATAAATGTGTGTCTAACTTTTGTATTCATTTTATTTATAAAAATAAAGAAGTTAATAGAGGCAGTCAGTAATGATAAAGAAAAACATTATAATATAACTGTTTTCTTTGGTAGCTGGAGGTGACTTAACTGTGTCCTTGACAGATGGTAGCTTGGCCACTCTTGAAGGAATACAGTTACAACTTGCTGCTAATCTAGTTGGACAGAATGTTCAAATTTCTGGAATAGATGCCACCAGTATTAACAACATAACATTACAGGTAGGTTGCTCACAGTTTCTTGCTTTTAATTTTATAGTCATTTTGAGGGCTGAAGGAAGTTGAGGGAGCGTATATGAATCTGGAAGAGCTCCCTTGACTTGAGTAGGACATGCAGCAGTACCACTGTATCACTTGTACCATGGTAGAAGACTTAAAGAATAGCTGCACAGGGTTGGGTTGGTTGTTTTTTTTTTTCTGATTTGGTTTCTTTTTTTCCCTGCAGTATTTCAGATTTCCCCCCCCTGAGATTTTGGCAGATTGCTTTAAAAATCTGTTTGTTTGGTTTTGTTGGTTTTTTTTTAATGGTATTTTGTCTTTTCACTTCAAAAGGATTTCAGGCACCCCAACCAACCCTCCAGAAGAACAACCTCCCTACCCACAAAGAAACAAACCCAAATTATTGCACAAATGTTCTTTTCCTTAACATAAGACACCCACGTTATTTGACAAGCTTGTAAAATGAATGACAGAAAAAGATGAGATGATTACATTTAAAAAATGTATTTGAAATGCTGTGAAAGAATGATTTTCATGAACTTGGTTGTGTTTGATCAGTTTCACAGAATCATTGAGGTTGGAGGAAACCTAGGTCCAACCCCGTGGTCAGGGAAGGGACATCTTCAGAGCTGCATTGGGTTGCTCAGAGTCTCTCTACTCAAGAAGCTTTTCGCTTAAAATGAAGAAAACTGCATTTTAATTTTGTTTTCCCAATCCCCAGACATCCCTAAAGAGTAAAATGTCTATCTATAACTGCAGAAAACAGCTGTTTGACTGAACTGGGACCTTAGTGAGCCCTAGGAGCTGAAAAAATAGATAATTTCTGATATCAGTCTTCTTTCTGCTCCATGCGTTTTCAGTTTCAAAGACCTGAAGACAGTGATAAGTGTTACGTGCACCAGTAAGACAGTACAGAATGACAGCAGTTGAGGTTACCTGGAGCCCAGCATGCTCATATGTAACTATGGTCGTGCTTTCCCCAACGTTTTGCTGAAAGAAGAATCTAGAGGTGGAGCCAAATACACTGTTTACCTAGTGACTTTGGAGACTGGCTATATACAGACACTTAAAATAATAACTTAGCGTTTAAAAGGGTTAGTTATAACGTTTAAATAATATATATGCTCTGTATGCACTGAATATGAATTCTGGATTTATGTTAAGAATGTTCACTTAACCTGTATTTATTAACTTCAGATTGATCAGATTGAAATCTTGCTTTTCAGATCGATCCAAGTATTCTGCAGCAGACGCTACAGCAGGGTAATTTACTTGCTCAGCAGCTAACTGGAGATCCCAGTATGGCTTCACAGAACCCCTCCCTGCAGGCAACAGAAAATGCAGTGCCTGCTAATGTGGTTATTCAGCCTATATCAGGGCTGTCTTTGCAGCCCACGGTAACATCAGCTGCTAACATGACTATAGGATCCCTATCTGAGCAAGAGTCTGTGCTGACAACCGGTGCTAGTGGTAAGCAGTGTCAGTAGTTTTGTAGTGCTTTCAGTGTCTTAATTTTAAGTACAGTATTACCCCCACCTCATGTATGAATTACTTTAAAAAGTTGTATTTGTTACAAAGAAAGGATCTCCATGGAATTTTTCTTGTACTACCCCCTCACATTTAGGTGCACAGGACATCTCTCAAGTCATGACTTCACAGGGTATGGTATCATCTTCAAATGGACATGAGATAACGTTGACCATAAATAATTCCAGTTTGAGTCAAGTTCTAGCTCATGCTTCAGGTTCTACTACTACAAGCTCATCAGGAAGTCCTCAAGAAATCACTCTTACCATATCTGGTTGGTATTTTAATGATCCTTAATGGTACCAGATCTCCATTTTATACAGTAGCATTTGAAGATACTTTCACTGCCCACAGCTTTGCTGTAGTTTATTTTTTATACAAATCAGCTTTAAAAAGTGTTCCTTCATTCTGCTTTTGAAAAACAAGTAATTTGTTTTGAGGATGCATGTTAGATTGGTTCCATATTTTGTATTTTGTATTTTGTATCATAATATTTCTTTAATAGATCCAGTATAGTATTTAGTGCTTTTCTCCTTTTTCTTTCTTTTTTTTTCTTTTTAATTTTTCTTTTCTTTTTTCTCTTTTTTTCTGTAATGTGTTTAATGTTTTTAAGTGTCATGACAGTGATATCCATATTAAGGTATCACAGTCTCCTGTTTTTCTGCTTGTTAATGAATGTTCACTTATCTAAGGAGAATGTAGTATTGCTGCCCAAGAACTGATAGAATCTACTTTCTGTTTCTGTGTGTCTTATGATTGTTGCCCGTTCCACAAAATTAACATAATGAAGTGATGTTTTTGCAAAAGAGGACATGTTCAATGCATATCTGTGTAATAGATAAAAAACCCTCACGTTTTAACCATTAACAGTTTGCTAGGTTTTATAGATTACCTAGATAAGTAAGATCAATATTTGTCTAAATTTTAGTAATCTCAGGTATTTTTCTACATGTTAGTATGTAGATGTGTGTAATCACATCTGTATTAAAAACTTGTCAAACCTCTGCATAGATCTGTATGTCTAAAAATGAATTTTGTATTTTGGTTTTCTACTTTTATTGTTCTATGATCACTTGTTCATAGTTCTAAGCAATAGAAGAATGATGTTAAGACATTTCCAGTTATAATAGGACTGATTTCTGTTCAGGCCAAGATCTTATTCAGCATAATTCTGGAAGCAGTGATTTGAATAGTGGCTTAAGGCTGACAACGCCAACCATCAACAGTCAGACTACAGGTGCTACATTAACTATAAGCAATGACCAGCTTCTTTCTCAGGGCACTTCACTAAACACTCCAGGTATGCATACAGTGATTTTTCTAATTAAAAATTGTAACATTTTGTTAAAAAATAAGTATTAGACCAGGTAACTTAATCTGAAATGGTATGATCTTGCACATTACGATTCAGGAACTGCATGACTCTGTGTTTTCTTACTGGCTTTAGACTGTTATGCCAATTTAAATGAACTCTGCTCCACTTATTAAGAAAAAAAAAAAGAAAAAGACATATCTAAATTAAATTAGTACTTTGAGATAGTTACAGGAATATTGGAGGACTGTTTCTGTGAATTAGAGGATGAAGAAGTCTGATAGTTTGCTGCAGACAGATGATAGAATATCCTTTATTGCTCTAGTATTCAAATTTTGAGGTTTTGAATATGTATATGAATGTCTACTTGTATCTGTTTATTATATACACAGAAACACATGTGCGTGTATGTAGTTGTTCATACTTTCAACCAGTGCAGCAGGTTGCACTAATACAGACTTACTCCTGATATGTAAATAACTTTCTTCACTCTTATGCATACTTATATTTTCTCTGTCTTCCTTTTCCTTTCGCCTGTCTCCTCTCATAGCTTCCTTTAAAGCTTATATACATCTATAAAGCAAATCTGCTTTAATGTCATACTGGGGGAGGCCTAACCCAGAGTATCCTGTGAGATTTGAAGGTTAAGGCATGCTTTTATGTAATGAACTAGTAAATGAAATAGTGAAAACAGACACTTGTGTTGTACCTTCTGTCTCATCTTCTCAGGTTTGGAAGCTTATTGTAAAAGGGAGAGCCCTGAGGCCTCTAGTCACATGTTGGAGAATCTATAATAAACTGTTATACAACTATTACTATATGGCTATTATAATCAAACTGTTATTAAATACCTATTAATAACAAACTGACCTTTTTTGCTATTATGGATTATCAGCCATGTTGCAAGGAAAGGCTGGGAGTGTTGGATTGTGGAGTTACTGAATTTTGGTTTTACTGCTGTGAGTCGAAGTGTTTTTCATTGAGAATTCTGAAAGTGGTCGGACTACAAAAACATGTAGCCTGAAATTTCTTCAGGTGTCTTTTTGGCGATGAGTCATCTCACATGCCATGTTACAAAGTTGTTGCTTTGCAGTGTGATGTCCATCAAGCTACATTTAGATGTAATTTTTCCAGTTTTATCATCTGACTGATGATTTGTGACATGGGATTAGCTTTAACTGATTTATTTGCTTCCAAAATAGAAAGGCCTAGCAAATGAGAAATAGAAATTAAATTCAATTAAAATAAGCTTGCTGCTAGAAGTTTATGTATGTAACAGATTCTTTTTTTTACAATTTTGCATATATTCCAGAACTTAATACAACAGGTGGAACAAACCTTCCTTCAACAACACCCATATCTCAGTCTACAGTTTCTGCCCAGAATTTGGTAATGTCTTCATCAGGAGTTGGAGGGGATGGTAGTGTCACCTTGACACTTGCTGACACTCAGGGAATGTTGTCAGGTGGTCTTGATGCAGTTACACTTAATATCACTTCACAGGTAAGAAGTAGTTTTCTGAACTGACAGATAAACAAATGTTACTCTCTTAGAGTGTGAGAATTGGAGATTTTACTTAGAGAATAGTTTTATTCTGTAAATACACAGTAATTGAAAATTCAGTTAACTTTTCTTCTTGTGTGTTTATACTGGCATTTAGAAACATAAACGGAAATACAGATCAATTTTACAGGTTTTTTGGTTTTTTGCATTGAGCAGATAGATTCTACTGTTTCAAACATTGTTTGAGATCAGTGATAAACTAAACTCTGTACTTCATCAGTATTCAGCAATATAGTTTAGTGTTCCTAAGCTTTTTATTGTTTAATCTGGTGTATTCTCTTTTCCTGCTTGTAAACAGGAGAGTCGAAGAGCAATTGTGACAATTCTTCTCACAGGAAAGAACAGGACAGAATCTAAATTAATTGAACTGCCTTTAATAAAAGATAGCGTTAGAAGAAATTTTATAATATGAGTGCTGTATGGACTATCATCTCCCCAGTGGCTTTAGCATTAGTTCTGTTTTTATCACAATTTAAGATTTTTGTGGTGTCGTCAAGAGCTAAAGACGTGTTGGCAAGTAGAATTATACAGAGTGAGGAGGGGGAAAAAAGCAATAAGCAATACTAAAAGACTATCAAGTGAAAATTTAATGTCATTGCGTGATTGGCATTTCAGTTTAGATTTGAGATCTGAAAACTTGGGCTATTTCTCCTACTTTCGTGGCTAAACTAGGTGTAGAATGATTTTGATGTACTTTTTGACTGCTATTAAAATGTGTAAATGTGTATAAATGAAATACTATTAGTCTAGCATAGCATGTGAGTAAACCTGGTGAATCAAAGTCTATGAGGATGATTATATGCATCCCTCTGCAGTTTTGCTCTGAGGAGGGAAAGAAAAGACTTAAATAATTCTTGTGATACATTTATGATTTTTGGCATCACAGAGTAACAAAGCAACTTCATAATAATTTAAGCAATTACATTTGGCAGTGTTGATGTTAATTAATAAGACATTATGCCTGATGTTAAGGCAGGTATAAATCAAAATGAAACATTGTTTTGGGCACTATGCAAGCACAGTCTGTGTTGCAGGAATCTTAAATTGACAGGTAGTACATAAAGGTACTGTCTTTCCTGGGCTCATAGAAATGTCTTTAACAGTAATGTAGAAATAGAAGTAGTAATTGTGTATCTTAGAATTTTATAGCTTGATTTCATGTGGTTTGGCAGTAGGTTCAATTTAGAGGTATTAAAAAAAAAAGGGGGAAATATTGTTGGAAGACCATGCAGGAAAGCAGAATATATGTGTTAAAGAAAGTATCAGCTGAAGTGACAGACACAAGGGATGGCTGAAACATTCAGCAACTGATGCAAAGCTGGGAAAAAATAATCAGAACTGAATCTCTGTTCTTAGAGACCTCCAGCTGTTGTTACCCTTAAATTGGTAGACTTAAAATGGAAAGAGAGAAAGAGAGACAGCAGTAGTGTTTGCTCAGATAGGATTCTGGAATGGCCTTTATCAAGAAAAAGGTAGTTTTGAGGCATAAATAGAATTTACATTATTACCGTTAGCTGTTTAAATATAGATCTTCTGCCTTATTTTTTTCCCTTCTTTTCTCTCCTCTTTGACAGGGTCAGCAGTTCCCTGCTATACTCACGGATTCTAGTCTTGCTAGCCAAAGTGGGTCAGGCTCACAGCAGGTCATACTGGTGAGCCATACCCCCCATTCAGCATCTGCAAACTCTGAAGAAATAACATATCAGGTAGATACGATGTATTTCTCTATCCTTTGTGGGTAAAGGACGTTATTTTTTCAAAATATCCGAATGATTCCTCTATATTCTGAAGCAGAATGGCTGATGTCATTCCCAAATAAGAATATTGGGAAGAGGTTCATTGTGACTTCCTAGTCACCCAGATTCTGTTTTAAGTTTTGAGTTAAAACCACTTTTTTATATACAAAAAATAAATGCAGTTAATTATGTAATACTTTCTACAAATTACAACACCATATTCCCAACACAAACTGCTCAATAAAATTTCAAGTTTGTAATTGGGTATTACGTACTGACTGTCCCTTCTGCTTCATTCTTTCTTGTAAGATTTGTCTTCTGCAATCCCAGATCACCAAGCTCAGTGGGAAAGGGTGGAGCAATGAATACCCTCAGTAGAGGAGGCTCATACACGAATCTGTTGGTGATGAGATACACTCAAGAGTGCTAAGGGAGCTGGCAGGTGTCATCTCAAGACCACTGTATTATCTCTGAAAGGTCTCGGCAATCGGAAG